GAGCGCAACCGAGCTGTCATGAGCGCTGCGACGGAGGCGGAGCTCCGCCAGCAGCTCGCCGAGCAGGCCGCCGAGTTGCAGGCCATGCGAGAGCTCTTGAACAGAATCCAGGACACGGTCGATGCACCCGAGCCTCGCGTGGCCGCCGCCGCCGCCGAGGTGCCCAGTGCTGCTGCTCCCGCGCCCGAGGCTGCGCCTGCCGAGATGCCGCTCGAGGTCGGGCCGCCCGTCATTGCCTCGCCCACGCCTGTCGAGCGCCCCAGCGAGCCCGATCGCGGCGAGGTCATCAACATCGGTGATAGCGTCGACAGTGCTGATGATGCGCCGTCCACCGTGCAGGGACACCCTGAGGAGATGCAGACGCAGCTGGACGGTGTCTCGCACTTCGAGGACGCTCAACTACCGCTGGGTTCCAGCTTCGTCGACGCCGGCGGCCCTGGTGCAGCCGAGAGCATCGAGCAGGCCATCCAGCAGAGCCTCGAGCAGGCGCAGAAGGACGGCGTGGACCCATCACTGGTGCCTGACTTCGCGACGGACGCGAGCCACACGGCGAGGTCTGCGAGCTGGCGTGCTGATGACATCGAGGGCGGCGGCACCAGAGGCGATGGCAGCGCCAGGTCGCGCAGCGGGAGCACGCGCGGGGCGGCGTCGGCACCTCGGGCGGCCAGCAGGAGGCAGAGATCGTCGGACATCGACTCCGACGACGCCCCGCTGTCGATCAAGTCCGAGCGCCCGCCCACGGCGCCGAGGCGCAGGAGTCGCAGCAGGAGCCGCACCTGCGACGCACACGCGTCGCTCGGCGACCTGACGGAGCAGGACCGCACCGAGGGGAAACCAATAGGATGAGGATCCAGGAGTAAACGAATGAGCAGGACGAGGGAGGATATAGGTTTCATGCAGCAATCTCACTGTTGTGGAAGCGTTCTAGGCGAACGCGCGTACTCGATATACAACACAATGTATATCGGGTCAGGGACTCGGTGAGTCCAATGAGTTTGAGGCTTGGGTGAGGGTGATGTTGATGATGATGATGACGATGACGGTGGTGCTGATGATGCTGCTGATGATGATGATGATGCTGGTTATGGTGATGATGATGATGATGATGGTGATGATGATGATGATGATGATGATGCTGATGCTGATGCTGATGCTGATGATGATGATGATGATGATGATGATGATGACACACTGTGTACATGCATATTGATTTGATTAGTTCGGTGAGTCTGAGGCTCGGATGAGGGTGATGATGATGACGATGAGGAGGAGGAGGAGGAGGAGGAGGAGAAGGGAGAAGACGAGGAATGTATGAGGAGGAGGAGGAGGAGGAGGAGGAGGAGAACGGTGGAGGAAATGTGAACAGTAGTGGCTTGGAAGAGGTGAGGGGTCTAGGTATGGTACCAATCCCTCATGGAGATGACTGGGGGTCCGAGGGTATGCAGTATACAGAGGATGGATATGGATGTGATCGGAGGAATGACACTGTAACGTGAATAATTCGCAACCTCCATCGCAAACTCCATCGCGATGGAGATTGCGATGGAGGTTGCGTTTCGGGTATCATCTGCGTTTCCGTGCACGTGCTCTGGGTGGCCGGATTGCACCAGTGGGTTGTGTTTATCTAGAAACCCACGCAAGAACACTAATATTGGCTGATGTCGGACTCGTCCGATTGGTACCATACCCAATGTCTCCTCACCCCCCCCCCACCCCCACCCCTGATCGCGCCCCCCACCCCCTCTCCTCCCACCGCCCCTGCTGCGCCCAGGAGCTGCAGACGCCCAAGAAGGTCACGCGCAAGACCGCGTGTGAGGTGGCGATGGGCAAATTCGACAACATCGAGGCCACCGCTCTAGCTCTCTTTCCTCATCCGCCTCTGGCTCCTCCCTCTCCTCCTGGTCACCATCGCCCTTCACGCCATTCAAACGTTCCGTCATCGTCGGTTCTTATCCACTACCGCCTTATCATCATGATCATCGTATACTCTCCCCTCGAGCATCATCCCCTTCTCCTCGTGACAATATCCCCTCTCGTCCTCCACCTCCCCATCGCCCTCCACCTCATCCAGCAGCATCCTGCTCCATATCTATAGATGCCCCTTCATCTTCGCAGCCTTGCTCGTCATGGTCGTTGCTGTCACTGGCCACCGCCGCTCGCATCGCAACAGTCGCCGCTCGTGCTCTCGGATGCGTCGCCATGATAACCACCTCGTCATTCATATCGCCATCGAGGCTCGAGACAGCGGGCATCGCTCGAGTCAGAGGCGGTGCGGATGAGCGACGACGACGGGAGTGAGATCGACAGATCAGCGCTGAAAGCTGTCTGGTCTAAGTATATAGTCGGCCCAGATTTTCTGCAATATACCTCGGCAGTAGCAAAGCAGGCCAAGTTGGACAGAGATCTCCTTTTAAAGTACAAAAAGCTATTGAAGGACACTCGCCAAGTTTCAGAGCACGTCCCTGTTCCTGTTGCCAAGGACACCTGGGCCGATCAGAACCGAACCATTAGTTTTAATAGTTATACTAGCTAGTGGGCCTCTAATACAGGAGATCCTGCTGTCCGTGGCCAAAGATAAGGAATCGACGTGGCACTTATCGACATCAGCAGACAACTGGGCCACGGACACGAGCAAGCAATTCGTCAACATGTTGAGGGACATCCGCCAATATATCTCCAAGTGTCGGGACCCCAAACTGACCACCACAAACACTTGTAGTTGAAAAAATCGTGACCGTGGCCCCTTAAATTAAACAATGCGTCGCAGGCAAGCTGTGTGGGCTGAGTGCTTCAAGAAATCCGAGGACGAGGATGACCGAGAATCTGAGGCCGAGGATGAGGACGATTTGGGTTGGTCGAAACCACTTCGCACCTCACCTTCCCGAGCCTCCTCCTCCTCCTCTTCCTCCTCCTCCTCCTCATTACCATCCTCCTCCTACCAGCTCACCATCTTCGCCCCCCTCGTACCCTCCCCCTTGAGCGTCAAGTGCAATTCCATCCTCGTCAGGATCATCCTAACATCCTCCTCGCCCACCCTCTTCATCCTCCTCGCTCCAACATCCCCAGTCTTGCCGTTTTGGCGATCGCGCGTGCAGGACATGACTGCCGCAGCCGATACGGCCAAGCGGCCCGCGGCTGCAGCATCCGGCGCCCGCGCCAGCCCCAGCCACAAGAAGCTCATCGCGCTGGCCGTGGAGACGCTCGACGGCTGGAGCTTGGGTTATCAGCAGGAGCTGCAGGCGACATTGATGCAGCAATATCCCCGCTTGAATATCAAGCATAGTGGATGGCACGGACGGGGTGGCAGCACACTGTCGCCCTGACCTTGTCACCCAACGGGTACGGATGTTGACCCGAGGCCATCGCCAGATCCAACGCGATCGACGTGGTGGTAGCCCGTGAACGGGCTGTTCCATCGCGATCTCCATCGCGATGGACTTCGCGATGGACTCGGGTCGACATCCATCTCAAATAAACGAACGCCGTGCGAGTATCAACTGAACAGATGATATTCACAGCGGTCGTGACTTCAAGATGTGGATGTTGTTGCATCGGCCCCTCAGTCAGCGTGGCGCGTCAAGACAGACGACGCGGGCGCCTTGCCGCAGTACGCCAGAGTCGCTCGGGTCGAGGGCGAGGAGACCCTCGTCGCGAAGTGGGCCGACGACGACTTCGAGTGGAAGATCCCAGGCACGACGGCAGGCGCGGCGCCGCAGGACAAGGACACGCAGACGCTGTGGTCTGGACGCGACATGGACGAGGACAAGGTCACGGTGATCGTCGTCAACCACAAGACCAGAGGCGTGTGGCTTGCGATCAGGAAGGGGTCGAGGACGCAGGTGGTGCAGATGCAGGGGTTCAACCCGAACAGCATGGGCGACGCCAAGAAGAAGATGATGGAGTGGGCCCAGTCGTTCTGCTCTGCCAAGATGGACAAGCCAGCGATTGAGGCCGCGAAGGCGGAGTGGCTCAAGGTGAACCGTCCAGACGGCTGGGCCCCGAAGGGCAAGGGCAAGGGCAAGGGCAAGGCAAAGTCGAAGGGCAAGGCCAAGTGCAAGGCAGTGCCGAAGGTCAAGCACGAGGCTGACAAAGCTGAACACGACGCAGGTGAAGGTGCTGAGAGTGAGAACCATTCCGAGACATCGGAAAAGGAGAGCGACGCTGGCGATGATGATGAGGATCGCGGTGACGGAGCTGCTGAGGGTGGTGGGCCAGATGAGGCAGACGAGAAGCAGGATGACAACACCGCCGACGGTCATGTGGTGAGGAAAAGGCCATCCGCAGCGGCGCCTGTCGCCAGCCCGTCGAAGAAGCCCGCTGCTGCCATCGAGACCACGCCGCCGACTGCGGCGGCAGCATCCGCGGTGGCGCCAGCCGCTCCCAGCCCAAGTCCGATGGCGCTCAAGCCACCGCCACTGCCCGACGACATGTTCATTGACTAAGGGGCACATGTGTTGTCAAAAAAAGTGCGCCATCAGTCATATCATCGCTTCGGCTGCTGCTGAACGTCTTACAGTCAGAAGTTGCTTGACCGCAGTCAGATGTGGATGCGTGCATCGTGGGCCTCTCGGGCCTGAGGGTGATCATATGTGCCTGGGTTTGTGGGTGCCCGTCCACGGCATAGCTGCGGGTTGCAGAAGTATTGCGGTTCCCTGTCGTTACTTTCGTTGTGTGATTGCGTTGCGTTCTGCATTGGACTTGTGATCTGAAGGTGCAGCGACACCATGTGTGCATTGCATTGCGTTCATCGTTCCACGGAGCACCGAGATCGAGATCGAAATCGAATTTCAACATCGAAGCTTCGAAACTTAACACTACGATACGAAGCTCAAACCTTCGAAAGCAACACCGAAACTTCGAAGTCGAACTCGAACTTCGGACCTGGTTAAGGTGTGGCCGTCGATGCATGTCGTTCAGCATGGCAGATCGTCCTTTCATATCGTGGACCTGGCACTTCCTGGAGTCTCGCACATCCCCCCTCGCCCAGCGCCTGTCAGGCGATGATCCGCATGTCGCAGAGCGGGCAGCCCGACGAGCTGGAGGTGGCCAAGCAGTTCATTGACGCATACAAGTCGCAGAACTTGAAGGTGATTCGGTCGCTGAAGGGCCAGTCGGACGATACGAACTCACAGTTGGCTGGTGACGTCGACGCCGAGGGGAAGCTCGTGAACCCGTCCAGGTGGGGCTTGTTGACCGACGGCGACGCCAGCAACCACCAGCCATGCGGAGCCGAGCCGCCGAAGAAGCGAGGCAGGGGCAAGCCATCGATGGAGGATGAGGAGAAGTTCTGGGAGGAGGTCAAGCAGGCAGACTTCCAGGTGCCAACAGATGGCAGGCTCGGTCGAATCGCAAGCCGTTGGAACCGCGCCATCAAAGACCCAGAGCTGAAGAAGAAGTACGACTCGACTACACAAGCGGTCGGGCAGAGCATGGACGAGGCCAAGCGCCAGTTCCGCGTGGACTGGGCCAAGGACGAGTATAAGGCGTTCTTGAAGGAGAAGAGCATCACCACCACGAGCTCGCGCAGCACCTTCACCAACATGGTGTACCTCCCTCTTGGGCGTATAGCTCATAAAGAGGGAGGAGGCCGCTTGGGGTGGATCCAGGCGGGCTCGCACTCCCCCATCCTCCTTAACCCACCGTCTCTCCATATAACCATCACTGCTGATGTCGCGCTCGCCATTGCCCACCTCATCTGGCGAGGCGGTGAAATACGTGTCCAAGGCCCTCGTCATGGGGGCGCCGTGGGTCCTCTGGGATGAGATGACGGAATCGGTCCGAGTGCTGTACGTGACGAAGGGGATCAACCAAGTGTTCACGGTGGCGTGGCAGCAGCATGAGAAGTGGACCAACGAGGAGACGCAAGGATAACACTAGTTCGGTAAGAGATGTATCCAGAGGCGGACGATGAGGAGGACACGGACGATGAGGAGGTGGAGGAGGAATGAATGAGGAGGATGATGAGGATATGAGGAGGAGCACGAGGAGGAGAAGGAGGGACATGCGGAGGAAGCGACGAGGGAAGACGTGGACTACGAGGAGGAGGAGGAGGAGGAGGAGGAGGAGGAGGAGGAGGAGGAGGAGGAGGTACGACACGGTTGGGAGTGCAATGTTGTGAGACCACTCGATCTCAGGATCCCAGGGCGCTGGGCAACGGCGTGCGGCTGACCTCAGAGGAGAATGCTGGATCCACAGGTGCGGGATCTACAGGTGCGGGATCTACAGGCGCTGGATCAACAGGTGCTGGATCTACAAGTGCGGGATCTACAGGTGCGGGATCTACAGGTGCAGGATCATCTACAGGTGCGGGATCATCTACAGGTGCGGGATCTACTGGCGCTGGATCTGCAGGTGATGGTGCAATCGCCACTGCCAAGCAGAAGGCGAGGGCCAAGGGCAAGACCAGAGCATCGTCGGCTGGTGGTGGAAGCGGCGGTGATGGTGGAGATCATGTGCAACCCACTGACAGGGTGAAGGAGCTGGAGGGCGAAGCGAAGAAGGTCTTGCTCAGGTACGGTGTTGCGTCTGGCACTGCCTACAACATCATGATGAACGTGGAGAGGCATCCTGAATGGGCGTGGGGCAAGAACGACACTGATGTGAACGCGCTCAAGGCAGCGACTGGGGAGCTCGCGGACACGGTGATCCAGAACTCGCTCTTGAGCAAAGCCATGACGTCCAAGTTCAGCGGGCTGAAAGCAGTGTTCGGTGACAACTACTTGGTGGGCCTCCAGTCCTTGAAAGAGCTTGGCCCCAAGCTGGACAACATCGTGAAGCTCAGCGGGCTGAAAGCAGTGTTCGGTGACAACTACTTGGTGGGCCTCCAGTCCTTGAAAGAGCTTCTGGACAACATCGCTCACGGAGACTATCGTCGGGGTGCACAAGCTGAAGACGAGCGACTCGCTGTCCTGCTCGCGATGCACGGCATCGTCTGGCATCGCGGTGGGGTTCCGCGAGCTGGTGCGCCCCGCGCAGGTGTGTTCGACACCGAGGGGCGCCAGGTGCACCTGCAGCCAGGCGCTCCTGGGGATTCAGGCGCGCAGTCTATGATGAAAATCTGACTGAGCAGCAAGTTTGTGATCACATTGAGCATTTTTGAAACTGGAGACCCGGTAACCCAATCATTTCATGGTTTCAGAGGGCCAGTTTAGCGATGGAATCCATCGCGATGGAATTTAGCGATGGAGCCATCAAACCATATATATATATATATATATATATATATATACGAAAATTAGCGATGGAGTGGACTCCATCGCAAACTCCATCGCGATGGAGTTTGCGATGGAATCAGGGGCCCGGTAACACCCGGTAACTTTTGAAGATGTTGGACAGTTTCGGTCAGATTTTCATGTCGGTGTTGTTTAATTTCCCGACTGGGGAGGCACGCCGTGCAGACGGTCACGTCTGAGATGGCGCGTGCCAGCGATTTGAGGTGGGGCCTCGATCACATGTCTGAAACACGGTGCGAAATCTCATGCACTATAGTGTACTGGAGGCTATTCGAAGCCAACAAAGTTCGGTAATCTCGAGCTGGATCGCTCGCGGGTGCAGCAATGCGTTAGTTTACTAGGTGCTTGCCCGCGGCACCAATGGCCACGGCTCGGTTCGTGATGCATTGGCGTCGCAACCCCTTCCCCTCAACAGTTCCGATATTTCAGATATATGGGCCCACTGTTCCAGAAGGGTATACCTCCTCTCCTCGACTGCGCGCCGTGGCCAAGTCTAGCGGGCACATCTGACCAGCTGTGTTTCAACGCAAGCTGGTGGCAGCGCCAGTGGTCAAGCATGGCGTGAGTGGAGTGATTTCGTGATATTGCTGCACGTGCGTCTTTTGATGCAAAACACAACACCACCCGTAGCATGGCACGGGATCGGACTGAATCTCGTTGTTCAGGATCTCCTCGTCGCATCAGATGGGCGCAACCGAATGCTGGAATAGAAGAGGGTGGCCGTAACCGTGTAATCATAGCATGCCATGCACCGCACGGCACAATCAAACTAACAAAAAACGCACTCGGCACCATCAACATACACCTCATCCACCTCCAAATCCTCCACCTCCATCTCAGCCACTCACATCTCCTCATCTCCTGATGTGCCTCCTCCACTAGAGTAAAATCACCACCCCGCCCCATCCACCACTCGCCCCACGCTCACCGCACTACATGCCCTGGCAGCGGAGGGGGGGGGTCACGATGTTCGAGAGATATCACTTGACCAGTGACGGGGGCAACGGCTTAGAACCTAAGCGTGGTCCGATCGAATGTTGACCGACGAACGCAAACGGGGGCGATGAGGAGAGCGACGATGAACAACAATGATCATGACTCAACCAACGGCACACAACAACAAAAAAAACACGGAATGGACATGCAATAACAACACATGTAAACATAGAGTTGGGGATGGCGATGATGGGTAATCGAATGTAGATACAGGAGATGATATGATGCATGCGTGCGTGAGTGTGTTTTGTGCATAGCTATTTTTCTCAAACGGGTCAATGCAAGCACGGGGCCATGCCCCCCGACCGAACCAGATCACCACCACTCGACCGCAGGCGATGGGTCCCAACCAGCAGCTCACAGCGCGAGGCGGGGGCCAAACTGTTCGAACACATGATTTCCCTATATGCTCGCTGTAAATTATCAGCCAAGGACTTCAGCACAGCGATGTGGTACCTTGGTGAGGCGTCAACGCCTGGCGCTGATTTCAAGCTTTACGGTTTGCACCCCGACAGCCAGACTGGAAAATTCCAAGATCACTTGGACAGGGTGTTACCATCACCACAGCACTTATACATGTTGGCAGTCCCAAGCAATGAACATGGGAAGGCGATCAGACACGTGACACATCATGCCATGAAGTGTGTGTGGGAGTCACTGGAGGAAGAACTCACACAGCGGCAGTTCGACGATAACAACGCCATGCGGATCATGCAGCAACATCCAGCCGAGAGGGGTGAAACGATATTAGACACCACCGCGTACAAACATCATCCAGTCACAGTGCGGTGTCGGGAAGCACATCTGCATCCTCCAGTACCCCTGGCTCTCTACTTAGACGGTGTGACCTATCAAAAAGGTGCGTCTGGTCGTAACGACACAGCTGTCGGGTACTGGTGCGTCAACCTTCTCACGCGGCGGAGGCACTACATAGGATCGCTGCGCTCATCAGACGCATGCCAGTGCGGTTGTCGGGGATGGTGCTCCACCTTCCCGATGCTTGAATTTTGCAGGTGGCAATTCGAAGCTATGTCAAACGGTCGGCGCCCAACCATGCGTCATGACGGCAGCCCATGGCCAATCAATGACCCATTGGGATCGGGCGCCGAGCTGTCATATACAGCGTGTCTCCTTTGGGTCAAGGGTGATTGGAGCGAGCACGCCCACTCACTCGGACTTCAGAGTTGGGCGTCGAAGTTCAGCCCGTGTCAGTTCTGTTCGCTGACCAAAGAAGAACTTCACTCTTTAGACGAGCACCTCGGCGATGTCGAAGGACCGCCGTGGCCGCTGCGGAACCACAATGACTACTTCAGGGATTGTGAGCAGTGCGAAGTGAAATTAACATTGCAAACTCCAGCACATCGCGCCGCGCTCATGGAACACATGTCGTGGATTCGGGCCACCAAGAAATCCATGGGCGGCCGCGTGATCAGGCGTGATGTTACTATCAATGGAACTGTTTTACTCGACGGCGACAGACTGGAACCCAGTAGGGAGCTTCTCGACACAGGCATGCTCGAACGAGTGGCTCTGCCGATTGCAATTGTCTTTTGGCGTGCACGACGGAGCGGGCAGTCTGTCATAGATTCAGTGAATCACCGATGTCCGATTTTTGCGCCCGAGCTCGGGACGAGCCCACACGCTAGTCTAGCAATCGATTCATTGCATTGCGTCTTTCTGGGGCCAGTGATGCGGTTCACATCATCCGCCTTGTGGCGCCTCGTGTTGCATAATCCTTGGGGGTGCACTGGCGACTCAGATACTGTGCTCAGCATCGGTGTCAGTTTGCTGACGGCCGAGCTCGAAAAATGGCAAGTCGATGCAGGCATTCGGCATCAGGATCGCATCAAGTCCTTGACGCTGAAGATGCTCGGCAAACGGCGGGGATATTCCCTCCAGGACGCATTTTTTGCTTGCGTTCATATGCTAGCAAATAGTGCGGTGATGAGTGTAGTGAAGATTGGGGGTAATGAGGATGAGGATGGGCGTGGAGTGCGAGGCTGAATGATAGGGTGGTTGGAAGGTAAGCCACGAGGGAGGGATAGCCCGACAAGATAAGGAGGGAAGGAGGAGGAACCATGGTAAAGCACGCGCGTTCGCTTGGGACATCCTCACAATCTGGTTCGCGCTTGTGTAGGTGTGGGGACCCCACTCGTATCGAAGCACAATGTTTTCTGATGTTGGATGGTGTGGGTTTTGGCGGTGCACGCGTTCTAACGTGGGCATGCTTGAGAGTATAATACTCGCTCTTCAGGAAAAGAATCACCCTGGGGGACACCTATCCTGTAAAGCAGCAGAGGCGAATATCCTCATGCGGTTCGCACTAGACAGGCTCGAGGCGCACGGGGGGGGGCGCGTGTTTGGAAGCGCTCTGGTTGGAGCAGGGCAATCACTGGTCGAGCTCGTAGATATGATCAAGCAAAACAAACATCAACCACCACTACCTGTATTCCAGTCAATGCTCCGTGCTATGGACATGCACATCAAGTTTGCCAAACATGCGAAGGTAGGGATGACGCCAAAACACCACTTGATGTGCCACATGCTCGCCAGGACTGTTGCGGTTGAGACGGGGGTGATGCAACATTGTTGTGTTTGTCGTGGGGACCTCTTGTCATTCAAGGTTGGATCTACTCGAGATTCTGAGATCACTGCGGCATTATCGTGCAGTCGGGCGCCACCATGGAAGGTGGCATGTATTGTTCACCGATAGTCATTCGTCCTTATGTGTAATGTTTACTGTTTATCCTGGTCGCTTCAACCTAATTCACGAACCCCCTAACCCTCGTTTCCCTCACCACCCCCTACCACCAACAACTGCCCCACACCCCGTTCTAGTTTCTAGTTTGGAATGCTGCATCGCCCCTGGCTTTGGGCTGTGTTGGGAAAACTCCAGGATTCCGACACATGGTGGACCTAAGCAATACGATTGCTTCTTAGACGAAACGTTAAATATTATGTTACGCGATGTTGCACAGTTCAGCCATCGGCTCACTTTTTCGCGAAGGTCGCATCAGTTGATCGAATTGCAGGGGTTCCTTGCAGGGCCACACTCTAAATACTTGGCATCGCCAGCGGGATGGTCTCGTCTTTCTTCTCGACAGCGGTCGTGATGTTTGCTCTGTTGCCTGTGGCGCTTGGTATCCCAGCCGGCGTTGATGGTGGTGATGTGAACACGGCTGCGTTCCTCTGGGCTACCTCCAAGGCTGTAACGTTGAACGAGCTTCCAGGTGATGATTTCCTTGACATGCCAAACATGTTCTTGCGCAAAGCCATCGGGCACATAGTTGAGGAGCTCCCAAATATCCCCCGCACCACTGCTCTATTCGAAGTGTTTGCAGGCAAAGCCTCAATCGCACGTGCAATGAGAGTACGCGGGTTTTCTGCATATTATTTTGAGCGTGACAAGCATCCTTGGCACGATGCGTGTACGTTTGTGGGAATATTATACTGCCTCTGGATGACAGCATCTGTGGTGGAAACTGGGCTGGTGTGGTTCAGTCCCCAATGCAGCACCTGGGGCCAGATGTGCAACCACCACACGCAGAGGTCGACTGGCATGCCGCTCGGGGACCCTGATCGTCGTTTGGACGTCCGCGAGGCGAACTTCATTTCTCAGCTCCTGTGACCAGGGATGGAACTAAGTGTGGCACCAGTGTTCGCTCAGGTGGGGCAGTTGATTTCGTCGTCACGCTGGACTCGCCTCGATCGCGTGCCAATGCATGCGAAACGAAAGTTTCACAATCAACACGATTGCTTCCAGGTCCGAGATGGTTGCGGTTGTGGCCGAATCGGTTGACCCCCCCCCATATCCCAGGGAGTTCCCACGGTCG